ACATATTGCATATCGCGTATTTTCCTTCTTTTAAGCTTTTATATTTTTTATATATATATATATATATATATATATATATATATATATTAAAAAGAAATGTATATTAAAATATATATATATATATATATATATATATATATATATATATATATATATATATCTTCAAAATTTAAATGTAATATCAACCGACATCTTCTGATGCCTTGATCTTTGATCCCCGTCATTCTCTTTATCCTTTCCTTAAACACCCCTCTTACACTTACTTTCGCTCTCTATAACCCCTTCCATGCTAGGAATGATACCACCTTGCTTGAAATTGAAATGGTTTAAAATACACACACACACAAACACAATATATATATATATATATAAAATATACTTTTTAATAAAAACATTTTCTATAAAAACATTTTAAAAAGAATGTATATTAAAATATATATATATATATATATATATATATATATATATATATTTTTAATATACATATTTTTAATATACATATTTTCTATATAACCAAAACATTTTCAAATATATAAATTATAATGTTTTGTTTTGTGTATTTTTTAACCATTTCATTTCAATAAGGTGGTATCATTCCTTCATCAGAAGGGGTTACAAAGATCAAAAAATTTTTCAAGAGGGGTGTTTAAAAAGGATAAAGAGAATGACGGGGATCAAGATCAAGGCATCAGAAGATGTTTTTGATATTATTTAAATTTTGAAGATGATATATATATATATATATATATATATATATATATATGTGTGTGTAAAAGAAACGATTACCCTTGATTCCTGATTTCTAAATATCCACCGAATTTTGCATTCATATTTTTAAACCAGGAATTTATTTATGAACATTTAAGAATTCAACTTCTTCATTGTGAATTAGAAATGAGAAAGAGATCGATTGCCAATGGTCAGGCGAGAACGCTTTTTCTTTCTTGATGTGCCGTAACACTTCAAATGCCGTGAAATTGTGGAGAGCCATGATCGCAAACTTTCGAACTCGGTGTTGTTCTTCTCTTAGACGTGTAACAAAAGAAAAATTAAATTACATCTACCTACACGTAAAGTCATAAAAATATGCCAGCTAATGATCAAGAAATGTTTCTTTACTTTCGATAACCAACTTTACAGACAAACTTTGGTTTAACAATGGAATCACTTCTCAGCGGAATTCTTGCTTGTTTATTTTTAGAGCTTCTAGAAAATGACCCATTCAAAAACTGTCTACCTCCAAAGTCTTCCTATTTCATATACAAAGACGACTCACTATTAATATATCCACAAAATACTAATTTAACAGATTTTGCCAACCAACTTAATGTTGAACCTACAATAGACTTCACTTTTGAAACTGAAACCAACTAAACTCTTCCCTTCCTAAATATCATGTTACACAGAAACAATAACGAACTCAATTTTGACCTTTATAGAAAAGCTACAAACAAAAATGACCTGATCAGTTTCTACTCAAACCACACCTCTAAAATTAAATCTGGAATTATTATAGGTTTCTATTTGAGAGGATTAAGAATTTGTAGCCCCCAAAGAAGAAACATACATAGAAAACACTTTCAAATACCTATAATATCCATTTCATCTCATCCAGAACGCAAGAAGAAAGGCATGCAAAATATACAATCGCAACAAAAATAACAACATCATCCGTAATAATAAATTATATGAGAACAGATACATAATTCTACCGACCAACTCCCTCACGTCCACTATCAAGAACAACTTATCCCATCTAAATAATATCAAAATAATCACAAACACTTCCAAATTCATTATGGATATAATTAGATCCTCAAACACCCATAGTAATAATATTTCAGAAGCAGGCATATATAAAATAAATTACTAAAACTGTTCCTCACAATACATTGGAGAAACATGCAAAAATGAAAAAAAAAAAAAAAAAAAACGCATTTATGAGCACAAAAGAAATCTCATAAATACTTTAACCAATACATTGTCATACATCGAAATAAATTCAACCACAATGTTGGTTTTAAAAATGCTACACTCATAAAGAAGAAAATAATTCACTCACAAGGAAAATCCTTGAGAGTGCCGCCATTGAATATTATTCAAATATTAATCTACTCCAAGGTTTTTTTTTTCCAATTCCACCTTTCCTAACAGAATCAGTACTCTCCCAACGTACACATCAAATACGTCAAGAAATTAAAAGAAAACAGTTGAATCCGCCAATACAATAATATTTCTACACGAGAAAATATTCTTTTCAGACGTAAAGTAATTGACGTAATTTTTCAGTTCAGCATATTAAAATACTAAGAGTTTCTAAATTCTTCTAGTTTCTAACGACATTTTGTTTGCTGTTTATAGATATTTTGATTCAAGCAATTCATTTCGTTTTTTTTTGCCTTGAATAAGTCCACATCGGATAAAATGCGTCGGCTAAAACTACAGTTTTCCTATTGTCTTTTTTTTTACTTTACACACACACACACACACACACACACACACACACATATATATATATATATATATATATATATATATATATATATATATAACCGAATGGTTAAATGTATATTATGAATCTTATGTATATTTTCTAATATATATATATATATATATATATATATATATATATTTTTCTAAATATATATATATATATATATATATATGTGTGTGTGTGTGTGTGTGTGGTCTTAAATAAGCTATTTATGGGGAAAAGTGCTTATATCAAGGATAGGGCCAATGTAAATATGTTAAAATGAAGACATGAAAATAAATTTTTACTACTTAATACATTTTGAAATAATACCATAAAAATGTAAATATATGTATTATATACAACGCAGGTAATGTAACATGTTTTAGATGAAGCCATTCCTTTTAACTACCATATATATATATATATATATATATATATATATATATATATATATATATATATATATATATATAGGTAGCAATCTTTCTTTCATGCACATTTCATTGAATGCGACAGACAAGGTGCTTGTATTTTTATATACAATTTCTCATGTGATTTAATATTTTTTTCGGATGATAAATTTCTGTTAACAAGAAATAGTTTGTTGTATGAATGTATTTATATAATGTTTTCATTTTCAAAACACGGTCAAGATATTGTGTCCATGTTTATAGATGATATTATTGAGTTTTTTTTATTATTAATAAGGCTTCCATTATTTTTACCCTTTTCTTACACGTAAATGATGCTATTATATTTGTGTTGTCAACAAGTATTTTACGAATAGGGTCAGGTAGGTCTCCATGAGTATTTCAATGAGACCTAATGGAGTTATGGTCAGAAAGGTGTAGATTGAGTCTGCGTGTCAAACATGTTGTAGTGTGGCCTATATAATTATTTACGAATTTTGATTGATCAGGAATACAGTTCCTTAATGGACATTTAAATTCGTAAAATTTCTTTTTAACGGTTATATATATTTCAACCTTGAAAATGGCTAAATGTATAGCCAAAAGCGCTCGGATAAAAAGAACAATTGGGCAGTTTTTATAGAGTTTATCATGAGAAATTTTATAAAAAACTAAATCAAAGCACCTTTATATGTATACATATACACCCACTTAAATATGTATTTAAGTATATATTTTATATATATATATATATATATATATATATATATATATATATATATATATATATAAAATTACATGACCCAGTAGCCAACAAGGATAGTTCGTCTTTAATGAAACTTTTTATAAGAGACGGATTGTTGACTAAATACACAATTATATATATATATATATATATATATATATATATATATATATATATATATATATGTGTGTGTGTGTGTGTGTGTGTGTGTGTGTGTGTGTGTGTGTGTGTGTGTGGTGGGGTGGGCAGTGTAAAATGAATTTCTAATTATTTTACAAAAATGTAATGGAGAAACTTTTACAACGTTAATTGAATTAAGGCGAGGTTTATTTGGCTATTTAACCTATTATATAGATGATATTAAAAAAATGAAAAAAAAGTATTTTCTGTGATATAGAATTATGGTAGCTGTTACTGAAACATATTGTGTATCCTTAAATCGTATTTTATTATTTTTCCCTCTCAGTAATCCCTTGCGTCTCAGTGGCTTTGTTCCCTTGCATGTAAAGATGAAATGATAAGAAAAATATAATCCTCACATAAACACTTTTATGTAGGCGTTGATTTTGTCAGGATTAACTATTTGGTTTATTTTTCGATAAAAGTGTTTTTCTTAAATCTAAATAAGTATCTTCAATAATGATAATTTTAAATTATTCGATACCCACAGTGGAGGAATTCGATACCCACAGTGGACGAATACCCTCAACCGTGGTAGGCTTCTCGGCCATTGACAGAAAAGAAGAAGAAAAATAATCCTGTTCACTGCCAGTTCGATTGTTCCATACCCTATAATAGATTCAAACACATCGTTAACGTGTTAGTTAAGCGCACTTGGGTGACTTACACGCCTATGTCCTTGTTGGCTCAGTTTATAAATAAATGGACAGCAGGGGAAAGAAATAAAAAAAAAGAAGTAAATAAAGAAACAAGTGTCAAACATGAAGTAATCATTGATTACTCAGTTAAGCCGACGGTCTATTAAGGTGATGACCAGACCTCGAAGCTTGAGTTTCGCTTTGTCTCAAGATTTGGACCAGAGCAGCGTTACAATGATCGTTCGGTGGATGACTTTTCGTCCACTTAGAAAGAAATGTCAACCCAAAGACAATGGAATCACCGTCTGCTTGGATTTCTGTTGATTTAATTTGTCTCTATCGACAAATCTGACTTGGTTTATGAGTGAGTGCCGAAATATTGAGTAGTCAGGTATTTTACAAAAAGCAGCGCCAAAAAAAGAAATAATAATGCCCTTAGCGAAGAACAAAAAATTTAAAAATAAGCTGATGTAAAAAAATAAGTTTTTTTTGTGTAACGTATTTGATAATAGATATCCGTTAATAAACTGAAATGATTTATCTTAACGACTTACGGCCACATTACGTTAAAACATCAGTTCCCGTATGATCACCGAAGTTAAGCGACGTCGAGCCTCGTCAGTAACTCGATGGGTAACCGCTGGAGAATACCAAGTGCTGTAAGCTTGTGTGTGCTGCTGATATGATAGACAATGTCTCTGAATTGTTAATCGGAGAGCCGAGTTCCAATTCTCGTTGTGTTCGTTATCTTCACTTACGAGCAAATACCTTTGGGAAAGGTATGAATTCACTTTGTCTCCCCACCACTATGGGTTAATTATTAAGAATTGTATCACTAAATCGTTATTAAATCCCTTCCCACAAACCAATTCTTACAATCTAAAAATATTTTCTGGCTTTAAATAACCCGAAAAGGGTCAATAAGCCGTAGAAAATGAATCAATGAATTCATATTCACCCTGTATAGCGGACTTGTGTCTGCAAAATTTGGTGCCCGAAGACAAGTCTTGGAACCTTGCATGCAATTATCTACTATTTATAAAATATTTACATTGAAGTCAACACTCAGCGGCGACAGTCTGTTTCAGGCTTAAACGCAATCTTCAGGCCTGAAGAATGCGTTTGACTTAATGTCCACTTTTATATTTACATACACTCTGTCGCTGATATTGAGCAATATAACGCATGAATATAACAGAATTTCAAACTATATATATATATATATATATATATATGTATGTGTGTGTGTGTGTGTGTGTGTGTGTGTGTGTGTGTCCAGTTAATATGTCCAGGTAAGATGAAAACGAATAAAGTACAATTCCAACGTTCGTAACATTTGATTTAAAAGAGGGCTCAATACAAAGTAGAACAATATTCTTTATTTTAGGATATTACATTGAAAAACATGTCAAAATTGCTACACAACTGCAGTCAGGTTTCGATGCGTAACAACGCATCTCGGGTCCTGGGTAAGACGATAAAATACGTCCAACAGCCAGGCCTCTGATCAGGAGATTTTAAAGAGCGTTGAACCACCTCATAATTGCTGGTGTTCCCAGGTCCACCCTAAACCGGAGTGTTAGCACCTGTTAAATAGTTAACCCCCAAACTGAGGTCAAAACACTATGAAAGTGTAAAAATAGGATTTAATACCAGAAATACTTATAAATGAATTAAAATTATTACCAGCAATACATTATTGCCAGCAATACATTTTGAAAAATATTACTAGCGATATGTTTAAAAAAAAAATTACCAGCAATAAATCTTGTCGACGTTAAATAACCCTTTGGGGTTGATATGCCGTAAAACAAACCAAACCAATCCAAACCAAACCAACGCATCTCATCAGGCGATAGTACATTACTTGTGAACGATTTATTCTGATTTAAAAGCAAAATCCGATGAGATGCGTTCATATACATCGAAACATGACTGCAATGGTTTTTCTACAAATAGTGTCACAGGTTCGTACCCTGTCGGACGGAGAGCACATTTTCTTTATTAAGATTTCACGAGTGAGTAGGCCAAAAGATTTAATACACTATTTAAAAATGGGGAACGTATTTCAAATACAAATAGCCACTAAAAATAACGCTTGAAGTAATAACGCTTATATTTTTTTAAAGCAAATATTATTAAAAACAAGAGATATTTTGTGTCGATTAATTTTACTGATCAAATTTCAAAATTACGAATTATCCTATACAGACAAAGAAGAAATACCGTTAGAAATTATCCCAACTTCATTTCGGAAGAAATGTCTGATGTATTTAAATTTTGCAACAGGTTTTATCTAACTACGCATTATGTTATTGTTGGTTCGGCCTTTTTGTAATTGTGGGGAATTTGATTTTGCTAATATATTTTAATAACCAATATTATGGTTTTGACTATCGTTTTTACGAATTATTAAAGTTGTTGTTCAAGCGAAATTTAATTTGGGTACCCATTATTGATAAGTGTTTGCTTTATGTTATTTAATTATTTAAGGAAAATATTTTAGATGAGGAAATGAGTTTAGCTCTTTGGGTTAGGTTATTAATGACAAAACAGCAATAAAAACATCATCCGTAGATTTAACAAGTTGTTAAAAATTACATCAGGCTTTTTTTTTTCGAAATGAATTTCTGACGGAATTTCTTCCTTATTAAATAACACTTGCTGCATAAATTACAGCAGAATATATATATATATATATATATATATATATATATATATATATATATATATATATATTATTATAAAACGCAGATTGTCTGTGTGCGTGTGTCTGTACGTTTATATATGGGATCGTATTTCCTACATTTTTCAACCTATTTCAACAAAACTTCACAGGACTACGTAAAATTACCCGGCGATGGTTCTGACAGCGCCAAAAATTGGAAAAACACAATTGTTTTTGCGCGAAATCAATTTGAAAGCACGGTTAAGGGTATCGCACCCGGCCGGAAGTTACTGCCGGCTACTCAAACGTCCGAATATCGTTAACTTCCGGTGACTCAGCGTTTTTTTTTTTTTTCAGAGAACGATACACAAAAAGTAAACAAATGAAACCTAAACATACACAAGTCCTCCTAACTAAAAATAATAACCGGAAACTAATTTAAATATACATGGTGTCCAAATGAAACCTATGTGTACAGTCAAAATGCGGAAGTTAATTCTTAGTCATCAACCAAAAGATATTGCCAACCAGCTACGATGCAAAAAGCAGCTGACATAAACACAGCTTTGCATTTCCCAACTACCATCGATAGTGAAAATAATCGATTTTTTCATGCTTCTACGGCAGTTTTCATGTAGTTTGCGGCCATTTTCTACTGGCCAGAGTGAGAGCCTATAGCCGGCTGCCACGAATAGGCAGGAAGATTCTATTGGCCAGCATGAGAGCCAACAGATGACTGACACGAATGTTAACTAGCATGCTAACATGCAAAAAAAATCGATAGCTGCATTCGTCACAAGTGGGAAAAATTTAAATCTGCATGGCACTTTATACCAATTGGCTCATTCACTTGCTTAAACTCAACGTTGATTCTGATTCCGCAGAACTGGGTTGGGTGTGAAAAAGTATTTGTTGTTAACATTCTTTTTTCATTCGGTTCCTCCAGTTACGAGTCCTTTTTTAAAGCTGATCGTTTTGTGTTCATTTTGTTTAGTTCTTTTTTCGTAACAGATTTAATGTTTAGTATAGAGCTTAGAAAAATTCGCATGAGATAGGCAAGAAGTAAGGCATGTAGCAACATCAGCACGGCAAAGGGCACTCTTTTAAAGGCAAGGAAGGGCAAAAATATTTTAAGTCAAGTGATAGTGATTGCTGTATGAGTCGTACGATTTTTGAATCAAGCACGGGCAACGCCGGGCCATGCTGCTAGTATATGATAAGAAAACGAACAAATAAGAAACAGATCTTAACATATTTCACTTTATTAAAACTTCATCATGAAAATATTTATTGAAAAACCAGAGGGAAGCAACGTCACGGCGGTAAGAAAAGTGACTGAAGTCGAGATGTCAGGATTGTTTAGATTACAAATGCTTTTTTTGGAGTTTGTTGAGAATCTCGAGACATATATATATATATATATAGCAGGAGCAACAGACCAGATATGGCAGCACTATTCAATGCACGGAGGAATGGTAGATTCATAAATATGCAAGATGGATTCTGACAAGAACAATCGTCCGGCACGGCGCAATGAATCAACTTTTCTGGCAGCTGATATAGCAATTAATTCAATATAATCACTCCACTTCATGTCGGTGCAAAACTTGAGCCAAAGAAGGCACAAAGATTTGCTCACCTGAAGGTTACCATCAGCTATTCTGAAAACAGAAATATATATATATATATATATATATATATATATATATATATATATATATATAAGTGAATATTGAAGTCAACACTCAGAGGCGAGAGACTGTTTCATGCTAGACGCAATCGTCAGGCCGCCCTGTCGTTTCTGAGTGTTGACTTCAATGTTGAATTTTATATTTATATTTACATACTCTGATATTGATCACTTTATCCCATAAATATAGCACATCTTAAAACTATATTTTTCATATATATGTGTGTTTGTGTGTGCGTGTTTGTGTATATATATATATATATATATATATATATATATATAGAGAGAGAAAGAGAGAGAGAGAGAGAGAGAGAGAGAGAGTATGGATAGGAATCCGACAAAGTGATAGGAAAACGAACAAGTAGGAACAGATCTTAAACTAACGTGTTTTACTTTATTAAAGCTTTATCAGAGATCAAGATAGAAATAATAAAAAAAATGATTAAAAGCAAAAAGGCGCAAATTAATTGTATGTTGTGTTACTCTATTTCATTTCCTAGATACGTATTAATTGTATTGCAGTAACAGATTATACTTAATTATGTGTGGCAAAAATTCTCTACCCTAAAGTGCTATTTTATAGTCTTACCCATGACGCTGGTGTAGTTTATTGTCATACCCAGGACGGTAAACGACTGGAATTCGAACTTGGCTCTAGGATTTTGAAATGAAAAATTGTTCAAAATATCCTGCAACATCTCACTCACTTTAAAATTCATAATGGTTTCTTACATTTATTTGTATATTATCTCTTACTTCCTTACACCTGAGACGTATCCAATCTAAACATCTTACTGCATCATACTAACTTTTACACATTTTAGCGTCGAGAATGTTTTCCACCAATGTTACATTTTGCGAGGAGATCGGCATTGGACACCCCATCGTCAAAGGTATAGCCACAACCTGCGCAAAGACAACTTTTGTGGAAGAAATCCAGCTGATTGATATGGAATATATGATTCTGAGCAACAGTGGGATTAAAATGGCCGCTCTCTATAAACCTTTATTTGGTGTCCAATTTGATACTTCTCTCGTTTCATAGACATTGGCGAAGTTCCCCCAAAGCACCTCTAGCTTTGGTGATCCGCTTTGTCACGTGTGAAAAAAAAAAACCCCAAAAACTGAATAAGCTTTTGTTTAATCGATTTATTTTTACTGCTTGTCAGCCGATTGCAGGTTATTTAAAACCGAAACATATCTTGGATTGTTAGAAAAATTCTGTTTTGCCAGCGATTAACAATTTTTAGGATGACGATAATTTTTCTGTGAGGGTATGGTGGATTAATACCGGTTTATTCACGCC